CCAGCACCAGTGTCCCACTGGCCCCCCTCTCTCTTTGCAGCTCAGTGCGGAGTGTGATGGAGGACAAAGAGAGAAGCCTCCTAGGAGCCTGCTTCAGGAGCGTCTTCTTGCTTCCTCCGAGAGAGCAATTAGAAATCCTGCGCCTTTCCATCTACCATGCGGTAAGGGCTGGTTGAGCTACAGGAGCCCCCAGTCCCTCTGGGCTGCTCCTGGTCTTGATCTGACCGGAGACCAGAGACAGGGCAGGGGCTCTGCTTGGCTTCCCCACCCTCATCCCTTCGTCCCCTTCCCGTGGGCTCTGCCCGCAGCAGACTGTCTGCCCCTGGGTCTCTCTCCCGGGCACCGCAAGGCTGGGCAGGAGTCCTCCCTTGGTGCCAGAAGGTCAGGTCAGTCTCCTGCGGGGGAAAGGGACCATGGGAATGGCTGACACAGCCCTTTGTCTTCCTTGCAGACCCTGTCAGCCATGGACAACATGCTACACAAGGTGGTGCTCAGCTATCCTGCCTCCAGGGTCAGCGAGGGGCTGCAGAGTATCTTGCAGGTCTGGCACGGGCAACGTGTGGGCTTCACAGGGGCTGTTGCTCACCCTGGGGGATGGGGGTGACCTGAGGGGCAGGAACCCCCCCACAGGCTTTGCTCAAGAAGATGAGAGGAAGCCTTGGTGGACTAAGCAGGGCTGCTTCTGCTGCCGTACATATCTGCTCCCAGGGCTCACCAGCAGCTTCTCTCTTCCCAGATGCTCTTGGATTTCACCACCTTGGACAACGTGGCTGTGCAGGAGAGGGCCCTGGAGAGGATTACCCTCCTGAGCCACTTTCTGGCCGACAATCCCACGGTGGAGGTACACAGCCAGGCACCCTTCAGCCAGGCCACCTCCCCCATCTCCCTGCACAGCACAGCAGGGATGCTCAGGGCTTTGGGGCTTCAGGGCTTTGGCACCAGCTGCCCGCCCTCACCCTTTCTGCTGTTCTGCCTCACTTGCCCAGGCCTGGGACCACGCTGGAAGGGACGTGGACAGGCTCGTCTGCTACAGAAACATCCACCTCCCAGTCCTGGGACGGCTGCTGGGATATCTCATCCTCTTCCAGTCTTCCAGCAAAGCCACAGCCCCTCTGGCTTCAGAAGCTTTTCGTTTCCTCCAACAATTCATGGAGAATCAAAAGAGTAAGACAAGTTGGGACGGGCTTCATCCCTCAGCACACAGACACCTCCTGATGGGTCTGCTTCTCCTCCTGACCTCCTTTGCCCTCACAGCCGCTTCCCGCAGCATCCCAGCTCTCATTTTGCTGCAGAACCTGAGTGTTCTCCTGAAGGCCAGCATCTGTTCTCTGCTGCTCTCCTTCCTCCCTCCTTTCACGATCTTGAACCACGCGGTTTTATGGTCCCCACAGACAAAGCCACCATGGATCACCACGCCCCAAAGCCATGTCCTCCCTGTTAGTGAAGAGCACATCCATCTCCGCAGCACCCCGGCCACTCCCACCAGCACTCATAGCGAGAAGCTGTTCCTGATGCCCTCCAGAAATCTCCTCGACCGCTCGTGTCCTGCCATCTTGCACGCACATCTGAGGGGCGTTGGTAAGCTTGCCGGCAAAGCTGCCGTGTCTCATTGACTCTTGTGTGTTTGCCCTGCTCTTTAGGCCGCTCAGTGATAAGGGATACAGCACCGCAGCTGCGTTACAAAGATGGAGTCAACTACTCACAGTGTGCAGCTGCCATCATAAACACGGTAAGGAGCTCCTCGCTTGCTGGGACTCTTCTCCATCGCATCGGCAGGGCACTCGTGTGAGCAAAGGCGTCCAGAATGAATGGGGCTGACGTGACCTCGTTGTCCCTGGTGAGAGGGTTCCTGCTCTCCCTGAGCAGGGACGGTGCCAGGGCTGCACTCCGTGTCCCAGCAGCAGCTCCCGCCC